AAATTGTAGGGGGAGGTATGCAGGTAATATTTACCTATCCAGGCTGGAAAGGGGTCCTTGTCCAGTAGATGTTGTCCAGAGGGGGTTGCTGGCAGGGCCTCTGGGGTGGGTAGGTGACGTGAAGCTGGTCTGGTCCTGATGGAAATAGTGTTCTCACCGGGTCTGTCTTCACCGCCTCTCTTTATAGGGGCAGACTGTGTGTGACCCTAGTGACAGGAGGCATGCCCAGGCAAGGGTCAGCCCCTGACATACTGAGCATGTGTGCTCCATGCAAGGATGTGCAGTTTCAGGTGTCTGTAATGGTGAGAGTTGCTGGTTTTGTAGGGTCCTTTGTTTTCTAATGTTCATAATTACAGTTATGGATATGTTATAGATGTTTTATCCAGGTATTACTATAGCAGACTATTTTTAATATGAAAAAACCCTTTTCTTTTGTCTTTAAGCTATAACTAAGAAAGCTAATTTAGACTTATCTCAAGGCTACAACCTCCAAGATGTAGTAAAAGTTATATGAACAACTAATATGCTTAAGGAAACCACAATTTTTACAAAATCACCATCATAAGTATCATAACAGATAGTCTCACAACTCGGCTGTATTCCCTCACCTTTTGTATTTGTTCCCCTTCTATTTTCTTTAACTAATGTTAGATAGAACTAATTAGCAAAACCTATCCTATAAATGCTTAGATTGCTTAAAATATTCTGTGCAATTATTCATGCGTTATTTTATTGGAATGTTGTGGCTAATATTTATTTGGTACCAGTGTTCATTATGGTATTTACAGAGCAAACACAGTATTGGACAGAACCTGAAGGGGTCAACTTTCTTCAGTGAGTCACCTGGCTCTCAAATACACATACTGAGATGTGAGGCAGAACCTGAGAGTCACTAAAGTTTTTTCTGGCCACCCTTGCTCTTTGGATTGGAATGAATGTAATCCCACATACTTAAAAGTGATATGCCAATGAAAAACAGAGGCCTGGGGAAGAGTTCTTTGATACCTGAAAGCTTGCATATGTCTATTCCAATAACTGAGTTTGTCCAATAAAAGATATCATCCACAAGAATTCTTTCCTCAGGCCAATGCAAAGCAAAGTCATGGGGCATTTGTAGACAACATATTAAAGCGGGTTAAATGCCCTTTTGCACTGCTTTAATGGTGTTGCTGTTTCCACAAGTTTGCAAATTCGGCAGAGTATTGCGTGCTAATTCCAGCCGCTAGCAAATTCAGGGATAATGCGCCTCAAATGACTTTGGAGCACAACAAATGACTTTGGAGTGCAGCAAACTAAAACATCTCTGAGGAGTTTTAGTTTGCTACCTTGCAGCCATGGAGGGAATCACTGGGCTCTGTGTGACTCAGGAGCTGTGCAGACAGCCCCAGCAGGCATCCCAGCAGCAGCCCAGTAAGCCAGGCTGCACTGAAGGAAAAAAAAAGTGGGGAGCCTGATCTTTTTTTTTTTCTTCCCTGGAGTCTGCCTGCTTGCCTGAGGTGTGCGGGGGCCTGGTGTTTCCCTCCACAGATGTGGTGCCCCCCCAGGACTGCCCAAGCTGGGTGCCTGAGAGC